CAAAACCACAAGAAACAAAAAGTATTGGTTAGGATATGGAGAAAAAAGAACCCTCCTACACTGTTGCTGAGAATGCAAATTGGTGCAGCCACTGTGGAAGACAGTATGGAGGTTTCTTGAGAAATTAAAACTAGGGGCACCTGGGTGGTTAGTGGTTGAATGTCTGCCTTTAGCTCAGGTCATGATCCTGGGTTCTGGGATCAAGCCCTGCATCAGGCTCCCCACAGGGAGCCTGCTTCTCCCTCTGCCAATGTCTCTGCCTCTCTCTGTGTGTCTCTCATAAATAAATAAATAAGATCTTAAAAAAAAAAAAGAAATTGAAAATAGGAATACCCTATGATCCAGTAATTCTACTATTGGGTATTTGCCCTAAGAATACGAAAACACTAATTTGAAGGGCTATATGCACCCTTATGTTTATTGCAGCATTATTTACAATAGCCAAGATACAGAAGTAGCCCAAGAGTCCATCAATAGGTGAATGGATAAAAGAAAATTCTCTATCTACCTACCTACCTGCCTATCGACACACACACACACACACACACACACACACACTGGAATATTATTCAGCCATAAAAAAGAATGAAATCTTGCCATTTGCAATAACATGGGTGGATCTAGAGAGTATAACGTTAAGTGAAATAAGGCAGTCAGAGAAAGACAAATACAATATGATTTCATTCATATGTGAAATTTAAGAAACAAACAACAAAGGGAAAAGAAGACAAACCAAGAAATAGACTCTATAGAGAACAAACTGATGGTTACAGGGGGGGGGAGGGGAGGATGCATGAAATAGGTGAAGGGGATGAAGAGTACACTTATCTTGATGAGCACCAGACTATATAGAATTGTTGAATAATTATATTGTACACCTGAAACTAATATAACACTCTATGTTAACTACAGTGGAATTAAAATTTAAAAAGAAATCCAATCTGAATAGACAGCTATAAATACATCCTTTACATGACAGACAAGAAAACTTTTTTTTATCATAGGTTATACTTGTCTCAAAATAAAAATCAATCAGGAGGCACAGGAAGCACAGGACAACTTAATTTTGATGTTTAAAAAGGAAAATAAGAAATGTTACATGCATCTGCTTTATTTACTTATTTTTTAAAGATTTTATTTATTTATTCATGAGAGAATGAGAGAGAGAGAGAGAGAGAGAGAGAGAGAGAGAGAGAGGGGCATAGACACAGGCAGAGGGAGAAGCAGGCTCCATGCAGGGAACCTGATGCAGGACTCAATCCGGGGACTCCAGGATCATGCCCTGGGCTGAAGGCAGGCGCCAAACCGCTGAGTCACCCAGGGATCCCATGGAAAATAAGAAATGTTATATGCATCTGCTTTAAAGTTAAGGAGCCATGAATGAAACATATTTAAAAATATAGATTGTATTTCAACTCTACATCATGGTCAATTGAGAAAAAGTCACAAGTTAAGACAAAGGAGAAAGAGAATAAAGAAGTAGTATCTGTAGATGTATTTATTAAACTACATAAAAATGTTTCCTTTATATTCAAAATGTATTAGCTGGACAGAGTGTAATTCTCTAAAGATTATGGTTACTTTATTCAATTGGCTGATGTTAAAATGTACCTTTTAAAACTAGTTGACTTTGAACAGAGGAAACAGTGGATATAAATGCAGTGCAGACTACAACAAACAGGACAGTGACATACGTTCATTCGTTCATTCGTCTCAAAAGGCTAGAGGAAGCTTGCCATTGCACATCTTGTGGTAAATGTGCATCAGAGAGATGAAGGAAGCAAAAAAAAAAAAAAGTAAACATGCAAAGACAACATTAATCTAGGAATGAAGGTGAATGTTAGCAAATCAAAGCTTTGTCATGTGGTGGGTGGCCTGGAGATAATGTATTCATTCTTTAAATGCTATTTCTTGGAAGTTTGAACTTGGTCATGAACTTGAGGTGGGGAGCAGGGCCTTTCTTTGCATTCCATCAGCTGTCCTAGGAGCTCCAGGTGAACCAGGGGCTAGGCCCCATTGGCTGGGGCAGAGGTCATTCTCACCAGGCACATCCTGGAACCCAGACTCCATGTTCAGGTGGCACCTGAAGGATATAGAAATCCTTCCAGTGAAATTTTAAGGGGAGCCAAGACCTATATTATTCCCAACAACTCCCTGTCTCTGTTACCACCGATCCTAGAGACCCTTTCAAAATCAACAAGATGTCTGAAATTAACATCATTTAGACTTGCTCCTTTGTTTTTTAAGATTTTAATTATTTTTTTTAATTTAAATTTTAGGTAGTTAACATATGGTGCAGTACTGGTTTCTGGAGTAGAATTCAGTGATTCATCACTTATATATAATACCCAGTGCTCATCATGGCAAGTGCCCTCCTAAGTGCCCATCACCCAGCTAGCCTATATCCCACCCCACCTTCCTCCAACAACCTTGTTCTCTATTGTTAAGAGTCTCTCATGGTTTTCCTCTCTCCTTTTTCTCTTTCCCCCTTTCCATACATTCATCTGTTTTCTTTCTTAGGTCCCATATGAGTGAGATCAAGATGGCATTTGTCTTTCTCTGACTTATTTCATTTAACATAATACACTCTAGATCCATCCATGTTGTTGCAAATGGCAAGATTTCATTTTTTTTCATGGCTGAGTAATATATATTATATATAATACACACATATACATATGTGTATATATACATATATACACATACATATATATACATGTATGGCTCTCTCCATAGTTTGGCTATTATTAGTAATGCTGCTATAAACATTGGGGTGCATGTATCCCTTTGAATCTATATTTTTGTGTCCTTTGGGTAAATACCCAGTAGTGCATAAAAAGATGCTCAACACCACTCATTATCAGGGAAATACAAATCAAAACCATGATGAGCTATCACCTCACAGCTATCAGAGTGGCTACAATTAACAACACAGGAAACAACAGGTGTTGGCGAGGATGCAGAGAAAGGGCAACCCTCTTGCACTGTGGGTGGGAATGCAAACTGATACGCCACTCTGGAGAGCAGTATGGAAGTTTCTCAAAAGTTTAAAATAGAGCTACCCCATGACCTAGCAACTAGACTCGCTCCTTTGGGTTAAGGAATCCTTTCTCCAGAAAGCTGTTAATTAAATGAGTTTTTATTTTAAATGAGGATTAAACATATTAGTGTCTGTTCACAGAAGCAAAACTTCTGATTGAGATAACTACTGGTCACCCCGCTGACCAGGAGGATGAGCTCTGAGGGGAAAGGAGGTAGCAGGACAGGTCACACTAAGCAGGAAAGGGCGCTGGGAAGGCTGAGAGTACGAGAAACTACTTGGGGAGCAGGATGCGTGTGGCACTGTGAGGTGGCCCCTAAGAAACAGTTATAGGGGTGGCTGAGAAAAGGTGAGAGGAAGTGTTCATCAATGTGATCAAGGGGTGAGGCCACAGTGAAAGCCAGCTACTTCAGTTTGGCCCAGTGTGGCATTGCTGCCCAGTAAGACCCAAGTAAGACTGGGATGGCCAGGTCACAGGTGCCTGTCCTCATATCACTCTGGGTCCCAGTAAGGAACAGATGGCATACTCACATTGGGATAGTTGGAAGAAAGTTTAATAATTTGTAAAGCTGTGCCCCGGGTGTAGGGACACAAGGACAAGGCTGGATTGGGAGTCAGCAGCAGTGGGCTCCCTTGCTAGCCCAGGCGTGAAGGCATGGAGTTGCAGGGGAAGGTAGTGACTCCCAGGACACAGAACAAGAGCACTGCTGCCAGACAGAGCAGGGGACATTGGGTTCCCCAACATCCCTGTCCTCCCACCTTCTGATTCCTACCAGTGCTTCCATTGGCCAAACCCAACTACAGGCCAGAGGGAAACAAGTCCACTAGACCACACCTTTCAGGCCCTGGAACACGGCAAGCTGAAGAAGGTTCTGGGTGGATCTGGAGGTGCAAAGCCAAGATACTGCATAGCAAGCGATGCCCCCAGTGGGCAGAGTGGAGCAAACTTTGATGTCTCAGGCTGGTGGCTATCTCACCTGCCAAATTTGTGCAGTAAAAGCTGGAAATGGCATATCCTGCTTTTGGGAAAACAATAAGACTCCTTTGAAAACATTTGTATTCCTAAAATCAAAGTATTTCTCTCTCTTCTCTCTCTCTCTCTCTCTCTCTCTCGCATTTGAGGTTTCCCTGATGCCCAGAGATGCACAGTTCTGCTTAATACAGAGAAATCACTGCTTCTGTCTGGGGAGGGAAGGGCTCCCTAAATGATGCCTCCCTAAATGACAGCAGCAGTATCCATTTTAAGACCCTTTACTTGCCATTGAGTGTATTGATGTTTGCAATGATAATGAGAGGTAAGAGGCTGGGTGGTAGCTTCCATTCCAGTTCTCTTATCCTGTAGAAAAAACCAACTTCCACATTCATGGCAGTCCTCCTCTGCTCTGAATTATCTCCACTCTCCATGAAAGCAGTTGGATTGAATTCTCTAAAAATGCTTTCCTTCTTGGAACTTGCCAATTCTAATTCCCATTAAAGTGCCTCTTTCCTTATTGTGGCTGCCTTCCATTTTATGCATGTGATGGTTTCCCTAATATGTTTTTAATTTTAAAAAATATTTATTTATTTGAGAGAGAGAGAGAGAGCTCGTGCGTACAAGCGTGTGTGTGGGGGGGGGCGGTGGGGAGAGGCAGAGGGAAAGAATCTCAAGCAGACTCCCCACTCACTCCCCACTCAGTGCAGAGCCTGACTTTGGGCTTGATCTCACACCCTGAAATTATGACCTGAGCAGAAATCAAGAGTTGGATACCTAACCATCTGAGCCACCCAGCCAGCAGCCCCCTCCCAGTCCCCATGTTTTTACATTCACCAGGGTACCTTGGATTTTTTTAAAGGATAAAGCAAGCATACATGAAAGAGTAGATAAGCACTGTAAAGGGAAATGTATTCGTGAGCTGCTCTCATGCCAGCAGGGGAAATGGCGTGTCCTTGGCATGCATATACCGAATGAATCCATCCGTACACTGTCCCTGCAGTCCACATCCACCCGACCGCTGTTCAACAACAGCCTGAGCAGAGCCAGGTTTCCTCTCCTTGCTGCCCAGAATGCAGCATTGGCAAGTGGAGTTTCCTTCTGCAGAAGCAAAATGAGACAGGATCTTAAAACTGTTATCAGTTCCTATGACCGCTTCTATGCAAGTATATACTATTCAAAAAGCAGAATTTCCAGATGTGTTGTAGCACTGGAAGATAGCTCCTCCAATAACAGATGATTGTAATATACTTGGTTAGGGAACACATTTTATTTTATACCAGACACCAGAGTGCAGTTATGAAGAGCAGTGTTGTTGATAATGTAGCACTATTAATACCCTATTTCCTACCAATGTTCTCACTTTCCTGCTTCTGTGTCTTTGTTCACAGTTTCCTTTTTGCTTGAAAGGAGTTCTTTCCCATCCTTCAAGGACAAGGCTCTGCTTAAATGCTATTTCCTCCCTGAAATGTTCCCAAATCCTTCTTCGCCTCTGAGCAGAAAGAACTCTCTCCCAATTCTGACCTCCCCAACCTACACCTTTTCTTTCCCCCAACTTTTCTACCGATTCCAGCTTTCTGGGTCAATGCCTCACCTTCCCTCCACCGAATTTTCTTTGCTTCAGCTGGAACTTGCCAGAGGATTCAGTTAAGAAAGGAATTCTGGGCATAAAACACTGTTATGTGTCCTCATATGGGATTCTTCTTTCCATTGCTGCCTTATTTTAAAGTTGCAAAGTTAATGTTGGAACCATCCTATGGAAGGAATAAAGCTGGCAAACAGTTCTTCAAAAATCAGAGTGGCAGCATTGACTGCAGTAAATTGCCTTTTCTAAAACACATCAATCTGGATCTGTAGGGAACAGTCCATGGCAGGAGAGGGTGGGGCTGGAAGGGAGGCTCTGGAACCAGATAGCTCCAGGTTTCAACCTCAGCCCTGGGCAAGTGATTTGGCCTCAGTGAGCCTTACACTACCTGGTTTGGAGTTTCTGGTAAGGATTAAATGATGTAGATTAATTGGCCAAATATGGTACCCAACACATCATAAATGCTTACAGATACTTCTTTCCCTCTGTCCACTTTTCTTTTTTTTTTTTTATAATTTTTATTTACTTAGGATAGTCACAGAGAGAGAGAGAGAGGCAGAGACACAGGCAGAGGGAGAAGCAGGCTCCATGCACCGGGAGCCCGATGTGGGATTCGATCCCAGGTCTCCAGGATCGCGCCCTGGGCCAAAGGCAGGCGCCAAACCGCTGCGCCACCCAGGGATCCCCTCTGTCCACTTTTCTTTACAGAGATAGAATCAGTAGGCAAAATTAAATTAAATATTGGTACTATAAGAATTTTGCTGGTTTCAGGAAATTTTTTTTTTCAGGAAATTTTCTAGCATTTAAATTGTTTAACAAAAACCTTTTTTGGGTGGGCTTAAAACACTTTTCTGACACCAAAGCCTTTTCATGCAATACATCTCTTAAATGTATTGATAAGGTATTCAATTCAATATCTTATTTACCTATGCTAAGTTAAAAAGAAAGCACAATATCACTCACAACAAGGATCCATCTAAAGATTAAAACAAATTTATTTTTATTTTTAAGTAATCTCCACACCCAATGCGAGGCTCAAATTCACAACCCCAAGACCAAGAGTGCATGCTCTACTAATTGAGCCAGCCAGGTGCCCCTCCATGGAGCCATCTAAAATGAAAGCACAGTGAGAGCACCATGAAGGCAGCATTTGTTGGTATGAGGGTTTCTTTTCGGCAGCCCTTCAGCTCACACATGACTTAGTGCTCTTGTGCATTCTTGGAGGAGAGCGTGGCCAAGCAGGGAGTGTTAAGCAGGTTGCAAACATACTTTAAATAGTTTCCTGGTGCAGGTAGGAAGAAAACAAAAATCACCTTAAATTCCAGATGAACAATTTGTTTTCCCCAAAGGTGTAAATGTTATGGTCCCAGGAGTTTTCACGCCAAAATGCAATGATGACATTCACACCCAGTGTTGGTGGCTTTTGTACCAGGCTAAGTCCACCATTGTAGCTGCCAGTATGTGGCTGAAGTGATGGCCAGGCAGGTCTGACTTGTATCATAAATCACGGAACAATGCCCTTTCAGTAGAGAGACTGCACAAGGCCAAAACGAAGTCTGGAGGGTGAATTAGGAAGAGAACTTAATATGCACCAGGGAACAGCTCTGGTGGCTTTCCTTGAAACATGAAGACTTGAGAGTAATAAATTGTAAATCATTTTTAGTGATTTTGTTTTTTCCATTTAACCCCAAATTATTTTCAAAACCATCGGCAAACCACAAACTTCTATTGTCATAACAAGCTCTTCTGCTGGGAGCCTCTCTTGTCTTGAGGATGGCCTTATGGCTTCCTCTCCTGTCAGGGCTAGATTTCCTGGTTTCCTACAAGGTTTTAGAAACTCAGCTTTGTGAAAAGCTATAAAGATTTCCTTCTCTCTCAAGTGCCTGATTTACTGGGAGGTGGAAGGAAGATAGTCAAATGTGGCATAAGAAAGTGCCGAGTTCAATTTCTGAGCCTACTACTTCGCTGCTCTGTGACTCTGGCCAGGTTATTTCTGTCCCATTGCCAGGAGTAGTACCTCTACCATGTTTTGTTAGAGAATTAAAGGAGAGAATACACATAAACTCAGTTTGATAGTGAACACTTGGGAAATGTTAGCTATAAATACACAGTCCTCACAGCTCTTTGAAATTCATTTGCTTGGTCACTGGCATGCATAAGGGACAGTGGTACTGGCCAGGGGCTAGGCCAAGAGGTACGAGTCAACTTTGATCTCTGCTCTAATGGTCTTACGGCCCAGTAGGAAAGCGAGTCATGCCAACAGGCATCAGAAGTTAATTACAGGAGCTAGAATAGGAATGAGGATTACTTGTGAGAGCAGAGAATGGCTGAGCCTATATGAGTGGGGCAGCCAGGAATGGCTTCAAAGAGAAGGAATTCTTGAGAAGAATTTAAAAAGATGAGCAGGGACCTGGCTAAGGAGCATCCCAGGTGGACAAGGAAGTGAAACAAAGACACGGAGGCTCACCATGGCCTTCTGAGAACTATCACTAGCTTGGAAGGGCTGGATTGAAGGGAGTGGAGAGAGGGCAAGGGGCACCATGGGGCTGAAAGCAGTCAGGGCCAGATCCTGGAGGAGCTGCTGTGCCATGTTATGGGGTTTGCCTGGGCACTAGGGAGCTACGGCAGGGTTTTAAGGTGGGGAGATACTATTGGTTTTGTGTTTCAGAAAGGTCTCTGTGGCAGCCTCAGGGAGAGGAGACTGATGCCTGGAGCCAGACTGAGGTCGGTGTCTACAGGGTTAGGGGGACTACCACATAGACAGGACAACTGAAGTGGAGGGCCCCGGCTTAAGCACCAATAGTGGGACAGGAGGATGAGACAGACTGGAGAAATTTTAAGGAACCAAACTAAACAGTTTTGGTCTGCAACCCTATGTTCAGAAGAAGGTGGGAGGAGTCTGGACTGACTCTCAGGTTTCTGGTTTGAGTGCCTCGTTAACGTTGTGGCATTCCTGAAAGTGGGAAACACCAGAAGAGGAGCAAGCTTTGGGAAAAAACGATGAGTTCAGCTTTGAACCTGCTGACTTTTAGTGCCTAAGGGGCTTCCAGGTGGAAAGAACCATCAAAAACATGGGTAAGTACTCCTGTGACTCTGTGGCAGACACATTTAGCAGAGGGCAGGTCTCTTGTGCTAATACTAAAGTGCTAGTTCTGTACCACTTGGCATATGCTCTGCATACACCACTTCACTTAATCCCCATCCTAGCTCAGTGAGGTTGGCACTGTTATCATCTTGCTACAAGGGTGAGGTAAGTGAGAGAGGACAGGCAGGCTTCAGGCCCCGGCAGCCTGATGCTCAAGGCTGTCCTGTTAGCCATCACACTGTTCTGCCTCTGGTGGAATTCTCTAGACAGCAAGGAAAAAGGGAGCATTGATCCCAGTGACCGCCTTCCTATCCTCATTCCGAGCTCCTCTTCTGCCAAGATGGAAAGTCCCCTGACTTTCCTTCTTGTTGGGGTCTATACACATCATGGCCTGGGTAACTTCCAAACTGCCTCTGGTTACAATATGCACATTATCACAAATGCTGTAGAGTGAGACAGGGGCAAGCCCCTTAGCCTTGGAAGAAATGATGCACGTAGCAATGCTTTACTATTTAACCACTTTCTTGATTTTTCTCTACAACGGGGCCAGGCAGCCTCCCTTAGGCTTGTTGGTCACTGTATCATGAAGAATAGCAACAGCAACCAACGTGGAGGTCTTGGTCTGTATCAGGCCTGCTAAGTGCTTTCACTGTTCTGATGCATTAATTCCCACAACAACCCCATGACACAGGTGTTTTTATTATTCCCATTCTTAGGATGAGGAAGCTGAGGCACAGAAATGAATCACTTAAGGTCATACAGTTAGGAAGTAATGGAGTCAGCATTCAAACCAGAGTCTGAGGTCATATATCTTATACCCTGGGAGTAAAATGGAGTATAAACTTCCACATATGCCATATTTTCTTCTCTTTTTCTCCCCTTTACTGCCAGGATTTTGGCTCATACAAGGAAGTGAAGCAAAGACATTATTACACGACCAACAATTAGTTACAGGAAGGAAGCACAGAAGGGAAATTGTTACTGCACAGAAGCGGAATTCTGATTAAAAGTCAAGATGGGGTAATGACTTAGACCATTAGTTTAAAACAGGGTTTAGAAGAATCTAGGTTTTGATTATGTACTTATTAAGTAAATCAAGATAACATTAGCTTTTCTCTGTAATGAATTTCTTTGATGTTAGAAGCCATATTAAATAAGGATAGAATGCAGGACTGAGAAGCTGCGTGCAGAAGGACACTTTCGAGATGTCACTGGCTACTATTTTTTTTTTTAAGATTTTAAAATTTATTTATTTGAGAGAGTAAGAGAATGAGAGTGGGGGGGGGGGGCAGAGGGAGAGGGACAAGCTAACTCCGTGCTGAGTACGTAGGCCAACATGGGGCTGGATCCCAGGACCCTGACACCATGACCCGAGCCGAAACTAGAAGTCAATGCTTAACATCAGGAGCCACCCAGGCACCCAGTCACCACCAGCTATTCTAATCCATTGTCCCATTCCCCCCTTCTTCCCTAGCCCGAGGCAACCAAGTATCTGCTTTCTATCTCTGTGGAATGCCTATTCTGAGCATTTCATATAAATGGCATCATACAATATGTGGCCTTCTGTATTTGGCTTTTTTAACTTAACATCATGTTCTCAAGGTTCATCTACATCGTAGCATATACCAGAGCTTTCTTCTTTCTTTTTATGATTGAATGATAGTCCATTGCTTGGATATACCATGATATGGAGTGAAGATTTGTGTCCCCCCTAGCCCCAAACTCATACGTTGAAATCCTAATTCCCAATGTGATAGTATTTGTAGGTGAGGCCTTTGGGAGGTAATTAGGTTAGATGAAGTCAAGAGGGTAGAGCTCTCATGATGGGATCAGTGTCCTTACAGGAAAACGAAGAGACACCAGAAAGTCCTCTCTTCTTCCAAGTGAGGATCCAGTGAGAATGTGGCAGTTTGCAAGCCAGGAAGAGAGCTCTCACCAGACAATTAATTTGCTGGCATTGTGATCTTAGACTTCTCAGCCTCCAGAACTGTGAGAAATTAAATACCTGCTGTTTAAGCTGCGTAGTCTTTAGTATTTTGTTATGGCAGCTCAAGCTAACACATACCACATTTTGTTTATTATCAATGATAAATGATGGGTTATTTCCAATTTTTGGCTATTATGAATAACAAAACATATGTGTACAAGTTTTTGTGTAAACATGCATTTTTGTTTCATTTCTTTTGTGTATGTATGTAGGAGTGGAATTGCTAGGTCACATGGTAACTCTTTCAAAGAATGCCCAGACTGTTACCTAATATGACTGCATTATTTTACATTCCAACCAGCAAGGCATGAAGATTTGAATTTCTCCATCTCCTTGCCAACACCTGACACTGTCTGCCATCCTAGTGGGTATGAGGTGGTGTCTCCTTATGGTTTTAATTTGCATTTCCCTGATGACTAATGGTGTTGAGCATCTTTTCAGGTGCTTGTTGGCCATTTGTTTATCTTCTTGGGAGAAATGTCTATTCGTTTCCATTGCCCGTTTTAAATTTGGGTTATTTGTCTTTGTCTCGTTGAGATATCTTTCATCATTTAAAAATGGTCAAGTCTCTACCATTTTAAAGCAAACCCTTGGTCAACTCCAAATCCCTGCTGTGGCCACTGTTTCTTGTGGTATTTTCTGAAACAGTTCTGGACACTTGTGGTTCCCACCCACTCCCTTTTGAAGCTATTGCAATCTGGCTCCTGAAGCCAGCACTTCGCTGAAACTACTCTGAACAAGGTCTCCAGTGGCTGCTTGTTACTAAATACAGTGGACACTTTTCAATTCCCAGCTTGAAATCTCTGTAGTATTTATCACTGAGTTCCTCCCCATGTTTATCAAAGGATTAGAAATCCTTGGCTTAAATTATCAGCACACGCTTCTGATTGTTTTCATACATTGCTGACTGCTTTTCAGTTTTCTCAATGGGCTTCTCTTATTCTGCTCATTCTCCAGGCTCCATCTTCTTCAAGATTTTGTCTTCAAGTCCTCTGTTTACCACTTTTACATGGTCTCACTGGACAATCACATTCATTCTCATGGGTTTAATTATCACTTAACACAGCTCACTCCTACATCTCATCTCTATCTTCTGCCTAGATTACACTCCTGGGGTTCCCAGTTTGTAAATCTGTCTAATCAACATCTCTACTTGGACTTCCATTCATCCTTAAACTTTACATGTCCAAAATTTTATCTTTACCTCTCTAGCCTTCCCTAACTCAGGGAATAATATCAATTACAGAATTCCATGGATTAAAAAAAAATTTTTTTAGTCACTCACATTTGTTTACTTCCTTCCATTCCAGACACCTGTTCCCTAGTCCCTGCCATTGAAAAGGATGACCCCAGCTCCACTCCTTTCTGCAAACTGTGGCCAGAGATCTTTCTCACATGCAAATCTCAACATATCATCCCTCTGTTTACATAAGCTACTGGAAGAGATGGGATTACACTGGCTTTGAAGCCAGGCACATTAGGGTTTCAATATTAACACCATTCAGGTGTAATGTTAACACTGTGATGAGTTACTTAACTTCTCCATGTTTTGGTCTTTCCGCTTCAAAAAGAAAAGGAGAGACACACGGAGGTACCATTTCGTATCTTCCTGAGGATTCAGAAGACACTCCCAGATGCCCTTGGCTCAGAGTCAGGCACATTTTAAGTGCTCAATACATTTTAGTCATTATTTTTATTAAGACCTTTCAATAGAGGCAAATCAAGTACCGTCACTCTCCTCCTGAAATGTGCGGATTAAATGGAATGACTTGAAACTCTTAAGACTCCTCTGGACACCGAAGCCTGGTAATCGGTCGCAGCTCCACTCTGCGCTGGGCACTCGGCTTCAGCGTCCAAAAAGTGCCGTGGCAGGAGGCGACCGCGGCGCCGCGGGCATTCCGCGAAGAGGCCGCGGAGCCGGGGTTGGTGCGGCCGCAGGGCAGCGCCCACCGCCGGCTCCCGCCCCGCCCCGCCCCGCCCCCGCCGTCCCCCCGGGGACGGTCCCCGCCGCCCAGCGCCCCGGACTGCGGCCGTAAGGACCGAGAGCCCTGCAGGCAAAGCCCACGCCACCGACCACGAACCACGGGAGCCACCCGAGCGCGGCCGCTTCCTCCGGGCCCCAGCCGGCACCCAGGGCGGCGCTCACTCCACCCTGCGGGCCCGGCGGCGGCCCGGAGGTCCCCGGGCGCGGGCCCCCCGCCGCGCGTCTGCGCCGCCCGCACCCGCCGCCCGCGGCGCTCACCTTGAACGACATCTTGCACATGTCCGCGGCCACCCCAGCGCGGCCGGCGCGCTCCCGGCCCGGGGCACCCGCCGCGTTCCGCAGTGGGGCGGCCTCCCGCGCCGCGCGCTCCCGCCGCCGCCGCCGCCGCCGCCGGAGACGGGGCCCCGAGGGGAGGGCGGGGGCGGGGCCACGGGCGGGCGGCCGGGGGCGGGCCGGGCGGGGCGGGCCGCGGGGCGGGCCGGGCCTCGGGGGCGGGGCCACGGGGCGCCGCGGAGAGCGCGGGCTGCGGCTGGCGCGCCCACCTGGCGCTCGCCGTCTCTAGCCCGCCACGCTGCTCACACACATCCACACCCGCAAGCACACACAGCAGCGGACACGCCACACTGCGCACATCCGCCACGGTCAAGACGCAAGGTGTCCAGATTCCCGTCCACGCCCCCACACTCTCCTCTACACACCTTCCATGCACATTCGCATTCCTGCTGCACATACACACGCTCCAGACTCCACACACACACACAGATTCACACATAATACTCCCACACTCACATCTGCGTATATATACACACTACACACCCACTCCCGTCCCACACCTCACACATCTTCCAAAAGAGCATGGTCTGCTTCGGAGGACTCCCGACCTCCATTACAGCACAGACATTGATGATGTCGATGAAACAGGAGAAGAATCACTGAGGGGGGCCCCTGACGGGATGAGCACTGGGTGATATGCTATATGTTGGCAAATTGAACTCCGGAAGAAAAAGAAAAAGAAACAAAAAAATTCACCCATCACCCATCCAAATAGGAATTTTCATTTTTATTTCTGTTGTTTTGGGATCCCTGGGTGGCGCAGCGGTTTGGCACCTGCCTTTGGCCCAAGCGCGATCCTGGAGACCCGGGATCGAATCCCACATCGGGCTCCCGGTGCATGGAGCCTGCTTCTCCCTCTGCCTGTGTCTCTGCCTCTCTCTCTCTCTCTCTCTGTGAACTATCATAAATTAAAAAGAATTTTATTTCTGTCGTTTTAGGTTTTCTTTTCTTTCCTTTTCTTTTCTAATGTTTTTTGTTTTGTTACGTTTTGTTTTCCTCCTGGAGAAAGATCTGGGAAACAAGCCTTTTGATTGAATGGGTGATATGTGGTATTTTCTTTTCTGAAGGTGAACGGCAAAATTGGGAATGTTACTCATGGCCTCCTCCTCCTGATTACAACAGTCGCCTCCTCCTTCTGGCCCTTTGCTGCAGAGCTGGAGTATCTCAGGAGCTGTTAACTCCCTCAGGCATACTGCCTTGCTGCTTGCCTACCGTTGGTTTGGGGGAAGTAAAAGCGGGAGAATCACATTTTTAAAAATTAAATAATATATTGTTTTTAAAGTATAATAAGCAATAATAGCCTTTTTAGAAAATTCAAATACCAAAGTAAAAGTAGACATGCTCGTACAATTGGAATCTACTCATTCTCCCCTCACCTCTGGTTGTGCCTCCTCTCTTCTCAGTTGAATTGGTAACATTTAATTCAAAAGTAAGAAACAAAAACAACGAATAAAAGTTCATGATGAAATAAAAATGTTTATCTGGGGGACCCCTGGGTGGCTCAGCGGTTTAGCATCTGCCTTTGGCCCAGGATGTGATCCTGGAGACCTGGGATAGGGTCCGTGTCGGGCTCTGGGCATGGAGCCTGCTTCTCCTTATGCCTATGTGTCTCTGCCCCTCTTTCTCTCTTTAAGTCTATCATGAATAAATAAATAAAATCTTTAAAAAATGTTTCTCTGTTTTAGATAAACCTATTACTTGTGCTTTATTACTTTTAAAGATTTTATTTACTTATTTATTTTAGAGAGAGATTGAGAGTGCATTAGCCAGGGGCAGAGGGAGAGCGAGAGGCAGAGAATCTCAAGCAGACTTTGCTCTGAGTTTGGAGCCTAAGGTGGGGGTCAATCTCACGACCCTGAGATCACAACCTGAGCCAAAACCAAGAGTCAGCCACCTAACTGACTGAGCCACCCAGGCGCTTCGCTTTGTGCTTTAAAATTAAAACGTTTCAAAATTTGATACAAAATTTCAAGTTTTAAATCAAGAAAGAGTCAAAACTTTTCCTTGTCTTAGGTGTCTGTGGATGAGACAGTTCTGAAGTTGCCATGCAACATTATTATCTAAGATTGGACGTGGGAGGTTTTGCTATTATACTTTCGATAAGCAAAAGGAGGGAAGAGAATGTATTTTGAGTGCTGTCTATGTAGGTATTATGCCCATTGAACAGCTGAAAAAACTAAGGCCCTGAGAGATGAAATAATTTGCTAATGAGTGATGGCGCTGGATCTTTAATTGAGTCTGTCTGGTTCCAAAGCCCATTTCCTTTCCACTACCAGCCTTACTGCTCAAAGTTGGTTTTGGCAGTGAGTCCCTGGCCAGGCTGCTGATGGGATTCTTGTCAAAGTCACAGGAAAGAATGTGTCTGTAGATCAGCCCACATGCCTGGCCAAGTTCATTTTCACAATAAAACTCCTAAACAGAACAAAACCCTCATGATCGCCACCAGGCAGCACCGATCTAAAGAGGCCCACTCTAAAACTTAATGGTGACGCATCTAAATACTTGAAATTAAATCCCTATGGCCCAACTCTCTCTATCCAAATAATTTCTCACGATTTACCAGAGTGTCTCCATTCTTGTCAGAGATTCTCCTTGTTATCACCCTCCCTCCCATCCCTACAGCTCTCTTCTCTCCCTAACTCAGAGCCTACCTTCCGGGGCTTGCTCCCAGCTCAGGCTCCCCTCCCACACCCAGCCCTTCAGCCATCTCTCTCTCTCAGCGTAGCTGAGCTCCTGCTTCCATAGCATCCTTGTTGCTCTAGACTTCACTTCTTTTACTTTTGACTCCTCTAGCAGAGTTTAGATTCTTCAAAGCCAGACCCGGTCTTCTACTTTATCTTTTTTTCTTCAGGGGCTAGTTCACAGCTGGAGAAATGATAGGTGGTCAAAGTTTATGAATCGTTCAATAGAAGATTCAAGGGATTGTGTTCTCCATATCACGTCTTTCCACAGGCCTCCGTGATTGGTATGCACAGACATCAGTGTTCATCTCAAATGGGGCCATATTTGTTGTCACCTTCTGTTCACACCAGCGGCAGACTGTCATGTGTTTCTTCTTGATGTGGCACTGTCCCAGTTTATGTGCCAGCAAGATTTGCTGTAGACAGAACTGTGAAGTAGGTTAGAATGGTCTCCTGAGCCCTCTCCCTCCTCTTTTTTTGTGATCAAGCTCCTTCATCCCAAATAAGAGTCTGCTCTGGACAGCTTGCCTTATATATTTTCTGTGTGCCTCCCACCCCACATCTCCCAGCTGGTTAGCTCAGTTTCTTCTCTTGGGATTTACACTAGACGAGGCTTCATATAGTGCAGAGTGTAGCAGCACAGTGTTGAATAATCTGCCCCAATATCCAGGGCCCCTTTCTTTTTCCCTCTTAGAACACTAATTTTGCTCAAGTATCTACCAAATTCCACCTTAAGATATGCTTCAGGGGAGCCCAGCCCCCTTTCCTGTCCAAAGCTCTCTGATCTAGGCTGGTGGTAGTGCCTGGATTAGGTGTGGGTGTGTGACAAATCCTGACCTCTGAGACACAAGAAGAGATGTGCTGGGGGCTTCTAAGAAAGGTTTCCTTACTTCTAAGAGTACCCAGGAGAAGGTTCTCTCTTCCTTGGGACACTGTCGTATATGGATATGATGTCTGGAATGCTGCAGCCACCTTGTGACCATGAGGGTGGCAGGGCGAACAGATGGTGTTACTAAGGTCTGTGTTGACAAATGGGGGCTCCCTTGCCCCTGGACTTTTTGATATGTAAGGCACTTTCTGTTGCAAGTATTCTGATACAGGGTGTGAATGCAAAGAAGCAGTGGAAGACAAAGGGTCAAGAACTTCACCCACATCAATTAATGTTCATTATGTGCTAGCATTTTGAATGTGTCTGTGATTTTATTCTTATTCCAACCACCTGTGAAAGTTTTACTGATGAAATTGAGACTCATAGCGGATGCAAAACGTGTTCACATTCGTAAGCACTGGAAGTAGGAAAGTCGTGTCTGAACCCAGGCAAAGGGAGCAGAACTCCTCTCTCTACCATGCTGTCTTACTGGGTTTGTACACAGATGTTTAAGTAAATGTCAGAATGAAGTTTCCTATTCTGCATTTTACAACCTTAGGGTTACAGATAATATCCCTCAAAATAAATGAATTGCTGATAGGGTGCTGTGAGAAGGGGATGGAACATGGTATCCAAGTGATACACATAGATTTTGATTATTGCCTTTGATATATCTAAATCCCAAACTATAACTAAATTCAAGTAATACACCTCTCTCCATCAACCCTTAGTTTGTTCTTTATCTTAAGAGTCTCTTATGGTTGGTTTCCTTCTTTCTGTCTCTCTCTCTTTCCCCTTCACCATGTTCATCTGCTTGTTTTTTAAGTTCCACGTATGAGTGAAATCATATGATATTTGTCTTTCTCTGACTGATTTGTTTTGCTTAGCATAATATACCCTAGCTCCATCCATATCACTGCAAATGGCAAGATTTCATTCTTTTTGGTGGCTGAGTAATATTCCATTATGTATTTATACCACATCTTTATCCATTCATCAGTCAATGGACATTTGGGCTCTTTTCATAGTTTGATTGTTGATGCTGCTGCTATAAACATTGGGGAACATGTTCCCCTTCAAATATGTCTTTTTGCATCTTTTGGGTAAATACCTAGCAGTGCAATTGCTGGATCATGGGGTAGTTCTATTTTTAACTTTCTGTTCCTCAATAATATCTTAATGGCAAATGCATTGGTGAATTTCACAGTGCTACTTTGGGGACATTCTTTATGTAAACTGAACCTAACATCAAATGACTTCAGGAAATCTCTAAATATTGCAGTTTATGGACAGCATCTGCTGGGCTGGCTTCCAGGAGAATGGGTGGATTACTGACCCTTGGGTGATCCTGTATGAGTACTGGTTTCCTGGAGTCATCAAGTGGCTCAGTTTGAGGTTTATTCTCCAGCTAGTACCTGGAGCACAGTTAGCTTAAGTGTGAGGTTTAATCATGTAAACAACAGAAGAACTAGGAATCAGAACTCT